TGGCAACAGGTGCCAACTAGGCCTCAACGAACTGGCACTTTGAAATTTTGTTGTATAATTTCAGGCTTTCTCTCGCCTTTACTTTATTTTTTTTTTCTAATACATTGGTTATCACTTGTAGGGTTGTTCACTGACGTTGCCACTAACACTGGTTGCTTCTAGCTGCTAAAACACGCCCTAAAAGCACTAAGATCCTCGGAGCCTGGCGCTTGTGACCCACTACACTGTCTCCACTGTGTGGTGTGTGTGTGTGTGTGTGTGTGTGTGTGCGTGTGTGTGTTGCTTTATTCATGTGTGTGTGTGTGTGTGTGTGTGTGTACTCACCTAGTTGAGGTTGCAGGGGTCGAGTCCGAGCTCCTGGCCCCGCCTCTTCACTGATCGCTACTAGGTCACTCTCCCTGAACCTTGAGCTTTGTCATACCTCTGCTTAAAGCTGTGTATTGATCCTGCCTCCACTACATCGCTTCCCAAACTATTCCACTTCCTGACTACTCTGTGACTGAATAAATACTTCCTAACATCTCTGTGATTCATCTGTGTCTTCAACTTCCAACTGTGTCCCCTTGTTACTGTGTCTAATCTCTGGAACATCCTGTCTTTGTCCACCTTGTCAATTCCTCTCAGTATTTTATATGTTGTTATCATGTCCCCCCTATCTCTCCTGTCCTCCAGTGTCGTCAGGTTGATTTCCCTTAAACTCTCCTCGTAGGACATACATCTTAGCTCTGGGACTAGTCTTGTTGCAAACCTTTGCACTTTCTCTAGTTTCTTTACGTGCTTGGCTAGGTGTGGGTTCCAAACTGGTGCCGCATACTCCAATATGGGCCTAACGTACACGGTGTACAGGGTCCTGAATGATTCCTTATTAAGATGTCGGAATGCTGTTCTGAGGTTTGCTGGGCGCCCATATGCTGCAGTAGTTATTTGGTTGATGTGCGCTTCAGGAGATGTGCCTGGTGTTATACTCGCCACAAGATCTTTTTCCTTGAGTGAGGTTTGTAGTCTCTGGCCCCCTAGACTGTACTCCGTCTGCGGTCTTCTTTGCCCTTCCCCAATCTTCATGACTTTGCACTTGGTGGGGTTGAACTCCAGGAGCCAATTGCTGGACCAAGTCTGCAGCCTGTCCAGATCCCTTTGTAGTTCTGCCTGGTCTTCCATCGAATGAATTCTTCTCATCAACTTCACGTCATCTGCAAACAGGGACACCTCAGAGTCTATTCCTTCCGTCACGTCGTTCACAAATACCAGAAACGGCACTGGTCCTAGGACTGACCCCTGTTGGACCCCTCTGGTCACAGGTGCCCACTCTGACACCTCGCTACGTATCATGACTCGCTGCTGTCTTCCTGACAAGTATTCCCTGATCCATTGTAGTGCCTTCCCTGTTATCCTTACTTGGTCCTCCAGTTTGTGCACTAATCTCTTGTGTGGAACTGTGTCAAACGACTTCTTGCAGTCCAAGAAAATGCAATCCACCCATCCCTCTCTCTCTTGTCTTACTGCTGTCACCATGTCATAAAACTCCAGTAGGTTTGTGACACAGGATTTCCCGTCCCTGAAACCATGTTGGCTGCTGTTGATGAGATCATTCCTTTCTAGGTGTTCAACCACTCTTCTCCTGATAATCTTCTCCATAACTTTGCATACTATACATGTCAGTGACACTGGTCTGTAGTTTAGTGCTTCATGTCTGTCTCTTTCTTAAAGATTGGGACTACATTTGCTGTCTTCCATGCCTCAAGCAATCTCCCTGTTTCGATTGATGTATTGAATATTGTTGTTATGGGTACACATAGCGCCTCTGCTCCCTCTCTCAGGACCCAGTGTTGAGAGGTGAGTAGTGTATTTTACTTTTTTATTGTTTTTTAATGCCTAGTTATATTGCTAACTTAAAACAGTGGTACCCTGACTTACGAGTTCCCCAACTTACAAGTTTTCAGAGTTACAAGTCGTCCCTCGGTTGATGTTTTGCTTTGAGTTTCGAACCAAAATCCGAGTGTTGGTGGTAAGGAAATGAGAGTATAATGTGTTGGTCGAGTGGTTTTTTAATAGAACCAGACTGGGCATAGTAAAAGATTCCAGCTATTTTACAATGTTAAATTCCGTCAGTCACACGTGCTTTCCATATCAGATAATGCAATTTCTTACCTTAAACTGAGAGTCTTCAGAAGAACTTTAAGCGTATCGTCAAGCTTTCCGCAATACGCTCTGTACTTATGCCAGCTTGAAAGCTTCCGTTTCAGTACAGCTGGTGTTGCTACTGGCATAGTCTTAGGGGTACGGAGGGTTGCCCTAGGTGTGGGACGGTGGTTGCAGCATTAATAAAGCGAATGAGAGATGATGTTTATGGGCAGCCGGACCACCAATGTGAGAATGGTGATGCTCAGCATGTACATGTGAAACGGTAGAAAATTTCAGAAAAAATGCGGAGTTTAAAGTATGAGATTTTGCGAAACTTGAGTGTTTAAGTTTGTAACCAACTGGCATCTCAGGTGCTGAGCTCCACCTCTCTATTATTATTATTATTATTATTATTATTATTATTATTATTATTATTATTATTATTGATTCGCCGGTATTCTCCCGGCCCGGGCCTTTTCCAAGTGGTGGCCCGGCCTTGGCTCCCTGTCTAGGGAGTGTCTGAGACCTAAGTCTCCCATGGAAGGAGGTACAAGTACCCCCTCATCTTTGGGACCAACTGTCCCCAGGCCTAGCCACATTTCCCGCCCTCACGGCTCGCGTAGGGAGAAGCTAGGCCTCTCTGGTCTGCCATCCCCGCCTCAACGGGGCTAATGGGAATGACAGTCTTGTGAGCTGCAAGCTCTGGCTCAGGCACCTACCCTGCCCTAGAAGGGCTGGGCATGGTGTCGATGTTTATTATTATTATTATTATTATTATTATTATTATTATTATTATTATTATTTATATTATTGTTATTATTATAGAAAGAGCAGAATCCGTTGGCAATTATTCAGCACTTGGAGGATTGGAAGATAATCAAGTTCAATGCAAGATTGGAACCTCCATTGAAGGGGGGAGGGGTAACTCCAGTATAAATGTGTTGATATCTCAGAAGGTTAACTGGGTGATTCACTTACCTCATTTTACTGAATGTTCTTTCTTGTCATAGCTTCTCCAACAAGCAGCAGGTATATCCCATATTACCTACCTCATCTGAGTTCTTATTAGAGTACATTCACTGTTACAGTTGAAAGAGTTGTTTCTTTCATTCCTCTCTCTTCATATATACATTGGTTTGTGTATGACTTACTGTACATACAGTAAATATATGTACTAATTCGTACTGTGTCTGGTTCAGTAACCGAGGATCTAGCACAACGTGATGCTGCTGACCTGCTGAGTGCACCTGATCTTTACAACCCGCTCACTGAATCCCTGGTTTCGGTAGTCATAGCCTCCGCACCTCAGAAAATGAAATGTTACAAGACAAATAATTATTAAGACACACACAAGAAAGAGAAGATAATTGTATAAGACATACAAGTAAAGGTATACGAGAGTTACGTCTCATCTTACATACTAATGAGAAAAAATATCAGTAACCCAGCCTGCGCTAAATGTTTAAAATAATTTTCGTCTTTCTCTTATATGACAGGATAATAATACTCTAAGTACACAGACGCATACATTCACGCACATATACACGTACATACACAAGGCCGTATACGTGAATACATCGTAAACCAACAAGATTGCTGCAAAAAGCAGCTGGGTGAATAATTCTGAACGTGAGTCTGCTAATGTAAGAGATGAACCCAAGTGGTCAATACTTGCAATATAATAAAATCATTTAATTCTAATGAGCAACAGTTCAGCTGTGTCTACACAACCAGTTTGTACCATGATGAACAACAGTTCAGCTGTGTCTACACAACCAGTTTGAACCATAATGAGCAACAGTTCAGCTGTGTCTACACAACCAGTTTGAACCATGATGAGCAACAGTTCAGGTGTGTCTACACAACCAATTTGAACCATGATGAGCAACAGTTCAGGTGTGTCTACACAACCAGTTTGAACCATGATGAACAACAGTTCAGCTGTGTCTACACAACCAGTTTGAACCATGATTCGTATAAACATATTTTCCTTGTGAAACTGTACGTTGATGCGACGTTAATGATGCATTTTCAACTAAGGTTTTTAAAGGGAATAGTAACTAAAATTGTAAATCAATTTGTTTCTATGCATATTTTTGTTCTCTGAAGATTTTGGTGTTATGTTCTGTCAGGAATGTTTTATGATTGTAGCTCCAGTGGACCATGATGTTTGAAACATGGACCACAATGGACCACGATGTTTGAAAGATGGACCGCATTGTATAATGGACCAGAATGTCTGTTAATGGACCAGAATGTCTGTTAATGGACCAGAATGTCTGTTAATGGAGCACAGTGTCTGTTAGGTTACCACATCGACAGTTTGGTCATTCCTTGTATTTAATGTATCGACATTGTCAGTAAAGTGACCATATGCTTTGTAAGGTCACCACATTGTCTGTAAGGTCACCACATTGTCTGTAAGGTTGCCATATTGTCTGTAAGGTCACCACATTGTCTGTAAGGTTGCCATATTGTCTGTAAGGTCACCACATTGTCTGTAAGGTTGCCATATTGTCTGTAAGGTCACCACATTGTCTGTATGGTTGCCATATTGTCTGTAAGGTCACCACATTGTCTGTAAGGTCACCACATTGTCTGTAAGGTTGCCATATTGTCTGTAAGGTCACCACATTGTCTGTAAGGTTGCCATATAGTCTGTAAGGTCACCACATTGTCTGTAAGGTCACCACATTGTTTGTAAGGTTGCCATATTGTCTGTAAGGTCACCACATTGTCTGTAAGGTTGCCATATTGTCTGTAAGGTCACCACATTGTCTGTAAGGTTGCCATATTGTCTGTAAGGTCACCACATTGTCTGTAAGGTCACCACATTTTTTGTAAGGTTTTCCCTATTGTCTGTTTAAGGTCACCACATTGTCTGTAAGGTTGCCATATTGTCTGTAAGGTCACCACATTGTCTGTAAGGTTGCCATATTGTCTGTAAGGTCACCATATTGCCTGTAAGATCACCACATTATCTGTGAGGTTACAACATTGTCTGTAAAGTAACCCCATTGTCTGTAAGGTCATAATATTCTCTGACAGATTACAATATGGTCTGAAAGTCACCATATTGTCTGAAAGGTCACCATATTGTCTCTAAGGTCACCATATTGCATGTAAGGTCACAATATTCTCTGACGGGTTACAATATGGTCTGAAAGTCACCATATTGTCTGAAAGGTCACCATATTGTCTCTAAGGTCACCATATTGCCTGTAAGGTCACTATATTGTTTGTATTGTATAAGGTCACGATATTGCCTGTAAGGTCACCCTATTGTCTAAAGTGACCATATTGCCTTTTAAGGTTACCATATTGCCTGTAACTCACCGTATTGTCTGTAAGGTCACCATATTGTCTAAGGTCACCATATTACCTGTAAGGTCACCATATAGTCTGTAAGGTCACCATATTGTTTAAGGTCACTATATTGCCTGTAAGGACACCATATTACTTGTAAGGTTTACCATATTGCCTGAAGGTCACCGTATTGCCTGTAAGATCACCAAATTTTCTGTAAGGTCACCATATTTGTTTAAGGTCACCATATTTCCTGTAAGGTCACCATATTACCTGTAAGGTCACCAAATTGTCAAAGGTCATCATATTGTCTGTAAGATCACCCCAAAATTTCCGTATTGTCTAAGGTCACCCATATTTTCTGTAAGGTCACTATATTGTTTGTATTGTCTAAGATCACCATATTGCCTGTAAGATCACCATATTGTCTAAGGTCATCATATTGTCTTAGGTCACCATATTGCCTCTAAGGTCACCATATTACCTGTAAGGTCACCGTATTGTCTGCAAGGTCACCATGTTGTCTAAGGTCACCATATTGCTTGTAAGTTCACCGTATTGTCTAAGGTCATCGTATTGCCTGTAAGGTCACCATATTGCTGTTAAGGTAGCTATATTGCCTGCAAGGTCACCATATTGCTTGTAAGGTCACCATGTTGCTTGTAAGGTCACTACACTGTCAGTAAAATGAACCACAATGTCTGTATAGTAAACATTACTATAAGGTGGACCACTATGTAAGGTGGACCATTTTGTAAGGTGGACCACTGTGTAAGGTGGACCACTTTGTAAGGTGGACCACTATGTAAGGTGGACCGCTTTGTAAGGTGGACCACTATGTAAGGTGGACCACTGTGTATGGTGGACCACAATGTAAGGTGGACCACTTCATAAAGTGCACCACATGGTAAGATAGATCACATTATAAAGTGGACTACACTTTTGTAAGGTGGATCACACGTTAAGATAGATAACATTGTTTTAAGGTGTAACCCACTGCTGACAAGGTTACCTTGTGTTATGATAGACAGCACTGTCTTCAAGGTTACCTTGTGTTATGATAGACAACACAGTCTTCAAGGTTACCTTGTGTTATGATAGGCAACATTGTCCTCAAGGTTACCTTGTGTTATGATAGGCAACATTGTCCTCAAGGTTACCTTGTGTTATGATAGGCAACATTGTCTTCAAGGTTACCTTGTGTTATGATAGACAACATTGTCTTCAAGGTTAAATTGTGTTATGATAGACAACATTGTCTTCAAGGTTACCTTGGTTATGAAAAACAACACTGTCTTCAAGGTTACCTTGTTATGGAGAAAAACACTGTCTTCAAGGTTACCTTGTGTTATGATAGACAACACTCTCTTCAAGGTTACCTTGTGTTATGATAGACAACACTGTCTTCAAGGTTACCTTGTGCTATGATAGACAACATTGTCTTCAAGGTTACCTTATGTTATGATAGACAACACTCTCTTCAAGGTTACCTTGTGTTATGATAGACAACATTGTCTTCAAGGTTACCTTGTGTTATGATAGACAACACTGTCTTCAAGGTTACCTTGTGTTATGATAGACAACATTGTCTTCAAGGTTACCTTGTGTTTTGAAAGACAACACTGTCTTCAAAGGGTTTCCTTGTGTTATGATTTGAACAACACTGTCTTCCAGGTTACCTTGTGTTATGATAGACAACATTGTCTTCAAGGTTACCTTGTGTTATGATAGACAACACTGTCTTCAAGGTTACCTTGTGTTATGATAGACAACACTCTCTTCAAGGTTACCTTGTGTTTTTGATAGACAACATTGTCCTTTAAGGTTACCTTGTGTTATGATAGACAACATTGTCTTCAAAGGTTCCTTGTGTTATGAAGACAACATTGTCTTCAAGTTTCCTTGTGTTTTGATAGACAACATTGTCTTCAAGGTTACCTTGTGTTTTGATAGACAACACTCTCTTCAAGGTTACCTTGTGTATGATAGACAACATTTGTCTCAAAGGGTTAACCCTTTTGTTATGATGACAACATTGTCTTCAAGGTTACCTTGTGTTATGATAGACAACATTGTCTTCAAGGTTACCTTGTGTTATGATAGACAACACTCTCTTCAAGGTTACCTTGTGTTATGATAGACAACATTGTCTTCAAGGTTACCTTGTGTTATGATAGACAACACTGTCTTCAAGGTTACCTTGTGTTATGATAGACAACACTCTCTTCAAGGTTTACCTTGTGTTATGAAAAGACAACATTGTCTTCAAGGTTACCTTGTGTTAGATAGACAACCTGTCTTCAAGGTTACCTTTTGTTTGATAAAACAACACTGTCTTCAAGGTTTCCCTTTTGTTATGATAGACAAAATGTCTTCAAGGTTACCTTGTGTTTTTGAAAAGACAACATTGTCTTTAAGGTTACCTTTGTTATGATAGACAACACTCTCTTCAAGGTTACCTTGTGTTATGATAGACAACACTGTTTTCAAAGGGTTTCCTTGTGTTAGAATAGACAACACTGTCTTCAAGGTTACCTTGTGTTATGATAGACAACATTGTCTTCAAGGTTACCTTGTGTTATGATAGACAACACTGTCTTCAAGGTTACCTTGTGTTATGATAGACAACACTGTCTTCAAGGTTACCTTGTGTTATGATAGACAACATTGTCTTCAAGGTTACCTTGTGTTATGATAGACAACATTGTCTTCAAGGTTACCTTGTGTTATGATAGACAACACTGTCTTCAAGGTTACCTTGTGTTATGATAGACAACATTGTCTTCAAGGGTTTCCTTGTGTTTGAAGACAAAACTGTCTTCAAGGTTACCTTGTGTTATGATTTAAAAACACTGTCTTCAAGGTTACTTGTGTTATGATAGACAACATTGTCTTCAAAGGTTTACCTTGTGTTAATGATAGACAACTTGTCTTCAAGGTTACCTTGTGTTATGAAAGACAACATTGTCTTCAAGGTTACCTTTGTGTTTAGATAGACAACACTGTCTTCAAGGTTACCTTGTGTTATGATAGACACACTGTCTTTAAGGTTACCTTGTGTTAGATTGACAAATTGTCTTCAAGGTTTCCTTGTGTTATGATAGACAACATTGTCTTCAAGGTTACCTTGTGTTAAGATAACAACACTGTCTTCAAGGGTTACCTTGTTTATGATAGACAACACTGTCTTCAAGGTTAACCCTTTTGTTATGATAGGCAACATTGTCTTCAAGGTTACCTTGTGTTATGATAGACAACACTCTCTTCAAGGTTACCTTGTGTTATGATAGACAATACTGTCTTCAAGGTTACCTTGTGTTATGATAGACAACACTGTCTTCAAGGTTTCCCGTGTTAAAGATAGGCAACATTGTCTTCAAGGTTACCTTGTGTTATGAAGACAACACTGTCTTCAAGGTTACCTTTTTATGGGTAGGCAACATTTTCTTCAAGGTTACCTTGTGTTATGATAGACAGCATTGTCTTCAAGGTTACCATGTGTTATGATAGACAATACTGTCTTCAAGGTTACCTTTGTTAAAGATAGACAACACTCTCTTCAAGGTTACCTTGTGTTATGATAGACAACACTCTCTTCAAGGTTACCTTGTGTTATGATAGACAACATTGTCTTCAAGGTTACCTTGTGTATGATAGACAACACTGTCTTAAAGGTTAAACCCTTTTGTTAGATAGACAACATTGTCTTCATGGTTACCTTGTGTTTTGATAGACAAAATTGTCTTCAAGGGTTTCCTTTTGTTATGATAGACAACATTGCCTTCAAGGTTACCTTATGTTATGATAGACAACATTAGTCTTTAAGTTACCTTGTGTTATGATAGACAACACAGTCTTCAAGGTTACCTTGTGTTAGGGTAGGGAACATTGTCTCAAAGGTTACCTTGTTTATGATAGGCAACATTGTCTTCAAGGTTACCTTGTGTTTGATAGACAACACTGTCTTCAAGGTTACCTTGTGTTATAAGACAACATGTCTTCAAGGTTACCTTGTGTTATGATAGGCAACATTGTCTTCCCAAAGGTTACCTTGTGTTATGAATAGACAACACTGTCTTCAAGGTTACCTTGTTTTTATGATAGGCAACATTGTCTTCAAGGTTACCTTTGTTATGTAGACAACACTCTCTCAAGGTTTACCATTGTGTTATGATAGACAATTACTGTCTTCAAAAGGGTTTCCTTGTGTTATGATAGACAACACTGTCTTCAAGGTTACCTTGTGTTATGATAAGGGCAACACTGTCTTCAAAGGGTTTCCTGTGTTATGATAGACAACATTGTCTTCAAGGTTACTTGTGTTATGATAGACAACACTGTCTTCAAGGTTACCTTGTGTTAGATAGACAACACTGTCTTCAAGGTTACCTGTGTTATGATAGACAACATTGTCTTCAAGTTACCTTGTGTTATGATAGACAACATTGTCTTCAAGGTTACCCTTGTGTTATGATAGACCAAAAACTGTCTTCAAGGGTTACCTGGGGTTATGATAGACAACATTTTCTTCAAGGTTACCTTGTGTTATGATAGACAACACTGTCTTCAAGGTTACCTTGTGTTATGAAAAGACAACACTGTCTTCAAGGTTACCTTGTGTTATGATAGACAACATTGTTTTCAAGGTTACCTTGTGTTATGATAGACAACACGTCTTAAAGGTTACCTTGTGTTATTTATAGACAACATTGTCTTCAAGGTTACCTGTGTTTTGATAGACAACATTGTCTTCAAGGTTACCTTGTGTTATGATAGACAACCATTGTCTTCAAGGTTTACCGTGTGTTATGATAGACAACACAGAACATTTCAAGGTTACTTTGTTTAAAAGATAGGAAACATTTTCTTTCAAGTTACCTTGTGTTATGATAGAAAAACCATTGTTTCAAGGTTACCTTGTGTTATATAGGCAACATTGTCTTCAAGGTTACCTGTGTTATGATAGACAACACGTCTTAAAAGGGTTTCCTGTGTTATGATAGACAACATTGTCTTCAAGGTTACCTTGTGTTATGATAGAAACTATGTCTTCAAGGTTACCCTTGTGTTATGATAGCAACCCTTGTCTTCAAGGTTACCTTGTGTTATGATAGACAACACCTCTTCAAGTTACCTTTTGTTATGATAGCAAATTTTCTTCAAGGTTACCTTTTTGTTATGATAGCAACATTGTCTTCAAGGTTACCTTGTGTTATGATAGGCAACAGTCTTCAAATTTACCTTGTGTTATGATAGACAACACTGTCTTTAAGGTTACCTTGTGTTATGATAGGCAACATTGTCTTCAAGGTTACCTTGTGTTATGATAGACACATTCCCCTTAAGTTTCCTGTGTTATGATAGACAATACTGTCTTCAAGGTACCTGTGTTATGATAGACAACCCCTTCTCAAGGTTACCTTGTGTTATGATAGGCCCAAAATTTTTTTCAAGTTACCTTGGTTATGATAAAACAACATTTTCTTCAAGGTTACCTTGTGTTATGATAGGCAACATTGTCTTAAAAGGGTTTCCTTGTGTTATGATAGACAACATTGTCTTCAAGGTTACCTGTGTTATGATAGACAACTTTTCTTCAAGGTTACCTTTGTGTTATGATAGACAACAGCCTTCAAGGTTACCTTTGTTATGATAGAACATTCTCAAGGTTACCTTGTGTTATGATAGACAAACAGTCTTCAAGGTTCCTTGTGTTATGATAGGCAAAAAATGTCTTAAGGTTACCTTGTGTTATGATAGGCAACATTGTCTTCAAGGTTACCTTGTGTTATGATAGACAAACAGTCTCAAGGTTTTCCTTGTGTTATGATAGCAACCATTGTCTTCAAGGTTACCTTTGTTATGATAGCAACATTGTTTCAAGGTTACCTTTGTTAGATAGACAAAACAGTCTTAAGGTTACCTTGTGTTATGATAGGCAACATTGTCTTCAAGGTTACCTTTGTTTATGAAGGCAACATTGTCTTCAAGTTACCTTGTGTTATGATAGCAACTTGTCTT